CTCTTGACAAAAACAAAATAAAATGTATCGCATTATGCATGTTCCAGTATCTTAAATTCTCAATTCAATGTAAAATGATTTATGTTTTAACAATTATATTCCAATATTATGTATGGATTTATGCATGAAAATTGAAATGGTCAATCATTTATCTATTCATTGTGGAATTTTCACAACATAATCATTGAAATGGGATTTTGAAAATTTAATGCTGAATTTTGATCATATATGTTGAATATGAAGCCAGCAATCACACGGTTTTCTCTACCCACATCTAGAAGGAATATAACCCACCCCCCACCCTCTTGGCATGGAAATTCACATGAAATTCTTCGATTTCCACCATGGCCCCACCTGAGGAAAATTCCATGAAATTAATATAAAAAATAAGTCCAAAAGCGTGCGTGTGTTGCCTTCTCTCTTTATTCCAATCTCTATCATATTTGAATGATCATAATTGCTGAGCATTTCCCTTTTGACATATTATGAATAGTGAGTTTGTTACAATTTTTTCTGAATAAAATATCGACATATTAAAAAAAAAATCGAGCAATATCAACTACACGATGTTTATGTGGTGGTATCTCTATCTATTATCTGATGGACGAACTTCAAATTTCTCACCAATGAAAGACGAAATTCAAAATTCTTCTATGTGGCACTAGAGGCACATTATATAGTGCATCTTTGCATTCTCTACTTAGAGTGTGTTTGATACACATTATATAGTACATCTTTGCATTCTCTACTTAGAGTGTGTTTGATGCACATTAAAATAGAAAGAATGCATTTTTTTGTAATGTAATGGTGAATATGTGATTGAAAAAGAAGAAAATATTATTGATGTGATGGAAAATATTATTTATTGAAAAATGTGAGATTGAAAATAAGTAGAACAATGATAATATGGCTCAAACAGGGGCTTAATTCTTTGTGCATGTGAGATTAGGAATAAATTCAATATTCATTGTCGATCAAAAAAATTACAATCGATACGATGGAGAAATTAATATTTATCATTGTCCATCAAAATTAAGCAAAAGACTAGTTATTATGTTTTTTTTTTTTTTTTTAACTTGGTTAATTACAACTAAGTACAACTCAGTGCCAGCCAGCATATGAAACAAAAAAAAAAAAAAACCTAGTTCCTAATCTTATCATCAGAACCTCATTTGATGTCTTCAACAAGACAGCAATAATGTAGTAATGATAATGATAGTATCATTTGATGTCCAATTCTCACAATATATACTTGAGTTCAATCTTATTACAACCTCACTAACTTAATCATCATAGACAAGACTCTTCAATTGTTTTACCACTCCACTCTTCCAAAATCAAATGAATTGTTTTCATTTCGAATCTTCAACATATAATTTCTAATTTTAATTAATTAGATTTTTATATTAATTCTCAACATGCACAATCATTATAACACAATATTAACACAAGAGATCCAATCTATGTGGGGCTCTCATTACACACCAGCGTACACGGTGGGTTGAAGTGGGGTACGGTCCCAATTTCTTCATTTCTTGACCTCTGACATTGACACCAATTTGTTCTTCCTTTCTCCTAGCTCGTGTGAAATAGATTTTTTCGAAAGGTAATTTTGCATCTTTTTGAAAAACTAGTTAGAATTGAACGTCCGTGGCACGTTATTCTAAAATATTTTATACGTGTTGTGAAAAGTAATATTTTACCTCCATTTTCCTTTTTGATCTAAATATATATATAAAAAAATACGAGCCACTGAAAATAAATGTTAATTATTATACATGCACGTAAATAGTATGGTGCTATAAACTTACACTCATAATCTTAATCAACTAAATGCATAAATGAAGATGAATGGTAAGTACGATACATAAAGTAATGTGAATATTAATTAATTTAGAATTAATACTAAGGAATATATACGTGACATTGATGTTAAATCATTTATACTAAATGAATATATTTTAATTTCCAATCAAGTAAAATCGGATGCTAATTAGTATACATATACGTGAATAAATAACTGCATTTTCTTAATGTGAAATTCTAATTAATATTAATTAAATGAATATTGTGGATGTTAATTAATTGAGAATTAATAACATGGACATAGATGTGAATGTAAATATGAAATTCTAATTAATATTAATCAAATGAGTGTGAATGTTAATTAATTGAGAATTAATAACATTGACATAGACGTTAATGTGAATGTAAATATTAATTGAATGGGTGTAAATGTTAATTAATTGAGAATTAATAGTAGGAAATACATGCATAAACAAGAATTTTGTAGTATTTATTACAGTTTATAAATTAAATACATATTGAAAATCGAAAAATAAAATATTATTGAAATAACTGAATTGTATTATGACTATAATCGTCCAAATTCTAATTAACATTAATTAAATGAACGTGAATGTTAATGTTAATTAATTGGGAATTAATAATGGGGAATACATGTATGAACAAGGATTTTATAATATTTATAACAGTTTGTAAATTAAATACATATTAAAAAACGAAAACTGAGGTATTATTTAAATAATATAATTGTAGTAAGGCTATAATCATTCAAAAAATGATTCTCTCTTGATATGATATTTAATATGTTATAGATATTTGATTAAAAGTATGAATAAATTATGGAAAATTATAAAAAGTGATTTAGCAAAATACATGACTGAGAATGAGCGTAGAGAAAAAAACTATTATAAAAGAATCAATTTTAAATAAAAACATAGCTCCTATTTGAGCCCCATTTTTGGGAGATAATAAAGTTTGAAATAGTGATTTTTTGGAGAATGTGTGGTTGAAATATAGGGAAATTTTTTGGATTTATGTATAAAATTATTTTATGGTAGAATATGTTGCTGAAAATGAGTTTTGAAAAAATGAATTTTAAAAATAATGGGGCTCAAATAGGGGCCTACTCTACAAATAATGCTAGAACCAATAGTTTGAAGATCCTTCCTATCATTTTCCTTCAATTCATAACTTATTTTCATTGAATATTAGTTATAATTTCATAGATACTTCTTCTACCATTGGTACTATATGATATATGGCGCGATTTGTCCTGAATCATCGTAGCGACTCAAAACATGGTGTGCGTCGATGATAAATTTCAATTAGATGTCTGATCCACCACCAAGACCCAAACTTGACCTTCAATGACTACAATGAATTTTTATTAAAAAAAAAAAAATTTGATCGAGTTTCCTCTATAATATGAATTAAACCCACCTGAATACTCTCAAACATATTCATATGATGTAGAATGGGAAACACTTGCCCCACTAATCAAAATATAGTATAGAAAAAAGGATATTTAGCCCATGTTTAAGCTCAATTATAACTAAGCTTTTGAAGAAAATATATTTTGTGATAGTTATTTTAAGAATATGTGATTAGAAAGAAGGAAAAATTTTGGTTTATATATAATATTATTTTATTAGAGAATATATAGTTGAAAATAAGAAATGAAAAAATGAATTTTAGAATCAATGGAGCCCAAACAGGACCTTAATGTTTCTTTACAAAAAAAAAATCCCCAAATACACGTAATATACAAAATATGCAGCAACCCCCTCAGACTAATACATATTATAACATAAAATCAGCGTTCTAAAAAGCATAAAGCGTAGTTAGATAGGGATGCGAAACTTCAAGTTTTATGAGCCTAGGCGAGACCTAGACGTAATAATAATAATAATAATAATAATAATAATAATAATAATAATCTTATTTTTAATATTACTTCAAATTTTTAATCATTTTAAAAATTATTTAATAATTAATATAATACATATCAAATATCTAAAATTGTAAAATACTATATTTACTTAATGATTCCTACAATTAGTCAATTTTACAATTTTCAACTAAACAAATCCTATTTAATAGATTTACAAGTACTTCATACATGCTTTCAAAGTTTTCAACAAAATAATGAGTCTCAGATTGTAATTATATAATGTAAATAGTACCATCACTTAAATCTATTTAACTTTTTATCAAATAAAGTTATTTTTAACTTTTGTACATATAAAATCTTTTAAAAACTTGTCAAAAGAAAAGTCATTGACAAAATAAATTAGACAACTGATTATGATATGTAAGATCTTCGTAAGACTGTCACCTCACTACATTATAAGCTGAAATATTTATTTTGTAAAACTGAATAAGATGTAATATATTAAAAGTCATACCAAAAAGATACCCTTAAATAATTGTAGACATGTATCGATGAATCTCGAAGCACATGACAAGCTGTTCATAATTTAATAATTGATGCTAAGCGTGAAATTTCTTTAAATAAACAATATTTGTGATCAATATTTTTGCTATGTCGTGAGTTAATGCAAGCCATATAAATGTAAATTCCTATAGGGGATCCTAGTAAAAGTGTACTCCAAACCTTTATTTGTGACAACTGTATCTCTATCATTGTGCAAACTCTATTATCAACTACGAAAACCTAATGAAAAAGACTCTCCAAATTATTACTTTTCAAAAAAAAAAAAAATTCCGAAGGGAAGATTGGGATATCTAATTGATAGGTGGCTTGATTGTGTGGAAATGGCCATTTGAAATGGCTGGCAATAGGATTTACAGTCTAAAACTAATGGCCCCATTTGATTAATTTAAAGAAAAAAAAAATTCCAATTTCCTTTTCCCATTAAACAAAATAAAATAAAATCAACTTTGCAAAGACTTTCTGCTATATATCCCCTCTCTTTCCTCACAACTTCATCTCTAAGCATCACATTTTTTCTAAGTTACAAAAGTTCTACTACTTCCTATTCCCTCTTCTTTATCGTCTGCAGTTTTGCAGCGTTTTGATTTAACGGATTACATTTTACCCTAAGAAAACCATATAGCTTTTCTGTTTCTTGATCAGTCTCACAATATATTTGAGCTGATTCATGTTTCTTTTATCCAATCATCCAAGGTTAAGCTTTTCTTGATCAACTGCAAATTTTCTTAAGATTTTTCCAATGGAAAAGGTAGGTTCTTGGGACAGAAAGATCGTCATCAATGAGCTAACACAAGGTAGAGACCTCGCAACCGAACTGAAAAACCAACTTCAGCCCGCAAAATCGCGCGAGTCGTGTGGGTATTTGGTGGAGAAAATACTTTCATCATATGATAATGCATTGTCATTGCTCAACTGCATGGCTTTACTTGAAAATCCTTCACAGATTAATGGTTTGTTGGGGTCAGCTAGTCCAGGAAGTAGTGAAGGTTCTGATCTTATTGATTCGAAAAATCATGTCACCAAGGAAAGGTAATTTTAGACAGTTTTCGTCATTTTCTTCATAGTATCTAATCCATTTCAAAGTAAATTAAAGTGTTCTTTTGTCGATCGATTTACAGAAAGACATTAGCAAAATGGAGTGAGCAAGTGAGGCTTGGCAGTGGAACAAGGCTAGAAGACCCTTTTGATGATGGATATAATTGGAGAAAATATGGGCAGAAAGTTATTCTTCGGGCTAAATTTCCAAGGTGAGACACTCTAGTCTTCATTTCATGTTAATATTACTCTTTCAACTTTTCGCCCCAGAACTGAGGCAAAATACATAAAAGTTTGGTACGCGGTTTCGGATATGATAAGCAAAATGTTAACTTCTTTTTTCTCTCTTAAAACTAGTTAGTATTGTAATGTATCTATCTTATCAAGCGATGGAGCAAGATTCAAGAAAAAGATAGTTTAATGGGACTTCAAACATGGTGAAGTCTGTTTTGGACATGTCTTGTCTTCTTGCATCTCAATTAAATGTACAATGGAATATTAAAAACATTGTACTGGAACTTATCTACTTGATGTTTTGTTGGTCCTTTGATGAAATTTGTTTGGACATGTCCCGTTTTTCACCGACTTAAGGAAATTGCGAGGAATATTCGGTACATTATACTATATAGTACTGAACATTACAATATTACCATACCTCACCAAACGAAGGTCCAATAATCTAATGCAACGTTAAGGCTGAGAAGGTGAATTAAAGATGATGAAGCCAATTCCAACATGTCTGTCTTCTTACATCTCAATTATTATATAACGTACGCCTAAAACTTTGTACTAGGACTTATCAAGTTGCTGCTCTGTGGAAAATGCTTTTTTGTGTCTTATGTAGATTTTTTTTTTTTGGCAATCACATACAGGGCTTATTACAGATGTACTCATCGAAATACACAAGGATGTTTAGCAACAAAACATGTTCAGAGAACAGATGAAGACACTTCGCTTTTCGAGGTCACTTATACGGGAAGACACAGTTGTATTCAAGAAAGCCTAAAACAGAAGAGAGGAAATTCTCTAATGTTAAAGAATGATGGAGGAGAGAAAAAAGAAATCCAAAGACATGAAAGACACAGTTGTATTCAAGAAAGCCTAAGACAGAAGAAAGGAAATTCTCTAATGTTAAAGAATGATGGAGGAGAGAAAAAAGAAATCCAAAGACATGAAGTTCATCAAGAAATGATCATTCTTAAAAATGAAACTCAAGAATTGGATACGAAGAAAGAAATTTTCTCTTCCTCTGAATTCTTTTCAGAGCCTGTTAAGGAAAGCAATTTTTCAGCAAGTTATTCGTTTCCATTTTTATCTTCAGCGACGTCCGAGTCATACTTCTCAAGGATGAACAATTCCGAGTGTCATCACAATTTGCAAACTTCAGAATCATATTTCACTGAGATAATTTCGGATCCAACATCTGTTGCTAGCTCCACATTCGAAGACCTGGATTTCTCAATTGATCCAGTGATTTTTGACCCTAAATTTCTTGAAACAGTAGAGCATTTGTAATTTGTTAAGTTATACATCAAGAGTATTTCTATTTTCTTCAGGTTTGTAATGTATGCGGTACCTATTGACCCTGGTTGATACCAAGTCACGTCAGTTGTTGGCAAAGAGAATTTTCCATGTAACTTAGTGTATGTTTTAATTTGAATTAATTAGCTTTCATAAATCAGTATTGTTGAAATGCTAATGACTAAATCATTCCCTGTTTTTACAAGTGTGTTCTCTTCATATGTTACAAGTGGACGACGAGCTTGTGCCTCTTTTGCAATATCAAAAGTAGCTTTTGACTTTTCAAAATCCTACCAAATGAGCCCTAACTCTAGAAATATTAAAATACGTCATTCTTAGGTAGAACAAAACTAGAAACAAATATGGAATTGACAGCAATATTAATGATGTCTATGCAAACAACAAAATCTCAGAGGGTACAAATTAAATTGTCCCGACCATTGAGTCATGTAGAACTTATCACATGCAAATCTGATCCACAAAAAAATTAAAATTATAAATAAGTACATATCATACAAGTAACAAGAGCTTTGGAATATCATTGCAACTAGTAATTCGCTAAAACCCAACAAATATTTGAACCACAAATAAGAAATGACAGGTTCAGAGCCCTCCCTCCTGTAGCCCGTGGGGATCTGATTTGGTAAGAACTTGAGCAAGTACAAAAGTAATTTCATTGCTGGGATACGTCCTTTGTTTATGAAATCGAAGGACAGATCCCTGAGCTGATGGTCGCCACTGCAACTGTCCAAAACAAGATAGTAGTATCCTTCAGACATTAATCCATGCTCATTCTTGAGTTGTTTTTGACACTTTTCACTATTTCCAAATCCTGAATCATTAGCTATATCTGTTTCTGCAATAGTCACCAAAACACTGCATCTCATAAACATCACCCTGCAAAATAAATCAGTACAATAAAGAATATGTTCTCAGATAAAAGTCCCCAACCAAAAGTGCCAGATCGACACAAGTTGCACAACTACAATACCAGTCTTCATATGATAGGGGTCAACAAACTAGAAGTGTGTGCTTCTGTTGGCACAAGCTGAAAGTTTTGTTACTATGCAAGTAATTGGGTTGCAACAGCATCCAAAGTAACCATTTGCCATTCTCACCCCCCAAACACTCCTTAGACGTGAACCATAACAAAAATGTTTTTTGAGTTATGATGTTAATAGCAACAATATTGAAAACTAGCATGCAAGATACACATGCCATTTGTAACAATAGTAAATGTCATTGTCAAACATAGGATTGCGTACAAATACATTAGCACTCATATTATGTTGCTCAATACGCGATCACGTATTGCAGGTTAACTCTAGTAAACTGTATAGGGGAAGAAGAGTCTTGATTATGGACTTGCAATTTAATGATGAATTAATGTAAAGGCTTCTTTTTCTTCTGGAAAGTCAGTCTTCAACATTTGGTTAAGTTCAATCAACCTTGACCAAGCACCAACTAGATTGAAGCAATATAATTTTATCGTCTTGTCCTTGACCTACTAATTATTATGTTGTCCCTTAGTGAACTAATATCCGTATTCTAGAAAAATAAACGCTCAACAGTTAACACCCTCACATATTTCATCTTCGCATTCCAACCATCCTTGAATCACTAATTCAAACTATGTGATCACCGAACATATTAGTATTGGGAATTCAATTTCAGATAAATGTCTTAAATGGTCTTGGCTTTAATGATCGGAAGCATTAGATCAACTCAATGGGATACAATATTGTCTTTAGCACAAATATCCCAAGCATATAAACTTATCACCGAAGATAATAATTTATAGGCACATGTACATAAATGATGAAGAAGTTGGTTACCAATTTAAGTTACTCCACACAAGGATATCCTATTTTATTTGGTTAGGGTTTTGCAACAAACCAATTATAAGCTGAAATATTAACTGAATTTGGATAATATATAAGCAAAAGTTTGCAAGTTTTAATAAATGTTGCATTTGTGAAGGTTTCTGAATCGATTCATTTCCACTGGAGACTGGAAACTAGGCAGACCAAATTGATTTTTTGGGGACAGTTTTGGTCTAATTATTATTGAACCAATATACATGGTTTTGCTTTTAGTTCTGATATAGAACGGAACCATAATAACCTCTAATGATGAAAATGTACCTCCACATCCCGTACTAACCAAGATACAAGTATCCTTTTTAATAGTACATATGTTTACCTACTTAATCCTAGCACATTCAGACATCAACAGTTCAACCAGTATACAATTCAACAGAAATGAAAAAAGATCACCGAATCGTATTGAAGACAAGTCCATTCGTATTTCAAGGCTTAATATGGAGAAATGGAATCAACCAGAACCTATTAGCTATTAGCACCAAGATAAGCACCAATAACAGATGCAAATAACTGTACAAAAATTGGTCATGGAGATGCATACGCTTCTTATATTTCTGGCTTCCAGGCCGTAAGTTTTCAGCTAAACTGACTTTGGAGAAACTCTCAAGATATAGGAAAATTGACAAAGAAGACCGAAGCAGACTCTCCGTCATTCCCACAGCTGAAAAAATAAAAAGGATTCTCAAAAGCACCAACTGAAAACCTACAAAGCAAAATAAGAACGATCATCAAGCTATATCCTTTAAGTTCTCTGCATGCACTACCAAAATGTATTGCAAAAGAAGTGGTAAGTGTTCTATAGCACATGTATTCTACAATCAGCCTAAGGAATGTTTTGGCTTTTTCAACAAAGGCTCATCTGAATCCACAAACAATCTCTTCCTTGCCTTTGGTATGGATTTCAAGCGCTCAACACTTGAGTGACAATGAATTAAGCTGCCAAGTCCTTTCACACTTTGATTGCCCAATGAACTAACCTCAGGATGGGCATTTGATCTTGGCTCGGTTGAAGGTATATCCTCTTCACTATGGGCATTTTCATCAGCCAATATCGAATCCAAATTAGCCTCACATTCCACTTGTGATTCTTTTTGTTTCCCGTAAGACTTCTTCTTCTTCTTCTTAGTTGAAACCATTTAAATCAATAAATTTAAACGTGGCAGCACTAGCATTAGCCAACATACTTTGCGAAAAGTATTTGTCAGGTTCTGCCTCAGAAACTTTATGCAGTTTCTTTGACTCCGGCAACTAAGACATCAATTCATACCTAGAATTCAAAGTTACCTCTGAAACAAATGCAAGTTCCCTAAACTTGGTCATGACAGAAACCATATAACCAACATCATCATCATCCATAACACAATCCTGACCCCATAAAGCAAGTTCCTTGAGCTCTTCCAGCAACAATATTGAACTTTCACCATATGAGTTTCTAGCACCCAAACTCCTTTCTTCTTCTTCGGGCATCGGGGGTAGGGAATTTTGAAAATTCACAATGCAGAGTATGGGAGTGTGTGTATGCTGCTTTTCACTTACCTCTTAGCCTTGATCAGGCAGTGAATCGTCTTCATAACACACGCTGCAAAAGGGAGGAGTCCTAGTATGATCATTCTTGTCAAGGCAAAGTTCACTGAAGGATAGTTGAGAATCTTGCACAGAATAGAGAGGCGACTGTGAATATTGAAGGGAAGACGAACAGCCTTGTTGTTGGTTATTGAGGCTATTTAATGGGATTGGGTCAAAGCAGAGATAGTGGGAAAGAAGGTGTTGAGGAATAGGGCCAAAGAGGCTGTATTCTACGCGACAGAGCTCGGCGGCGGACGGGTGGGGCTGTGGAGGCGATTTGGGGAGTTGAAAGAAGGGGATTTTGCAGAGGCACCAAATAGATGCATACGGATCGCCTACATAAGAATCCATTCTACATCAACTTTAATCATACAGTGAATCACACAGTAGGAATCTTGTTTGGAGTGGCGGTGGCGGTGGACGGACTGGCGGTTGGCATATTTATACATACGAGGGGTAAAAAGATGTATTCATGGAAGTTTGTGGGCGGTTTTTTAAATTTTTTTACAGGCAATCAATTGCACATTAATTAATTATTTTAGACAGCCTTAAAAATAAAATTACTTCTCTATTTCATCTACATTTCTGGACAAGTACTTGTGCAACAATATTTTGTGGCATCGACATGCACGAAACTGGAGGGCAAACAATTCTGTTCCATGTCAAGTTAAATGACAAAGATCCTCAAAAATTACTCATCGGCGAGGTGAAGAACGATAAGCGTACACTATGTTAAACAAACATGAAAACTTTGTGTCATTAGTCCTACATTATTATAGAACAAAAGGCCTCAAAGGTGAGACAAAAGCTCTCTACATTGGAGGCTTAACTAGGAAGATGAGTATAAACCCGTTACTACCACTAATACAACGAACCTGCTCATATGCCTCCTATAAGAGGTGATGCGGAAGACACGCTCCTAGTCGAACTACATAAAAGCCAGAAGACACACTAGTTCCACTACAGGAAATTTACTATAAACAGTCACACACAATCATTTCATAGTTTTCACATTATCATTATTTTGCTTTATCTCCATCTCCGCCAGCATCAGCACCAGAGGCTTGACCCTCGAGTTTATCTTGGGGAGTTCCTCCACATACATCATTTACCCCAGAATTTGAAGTAGGGATACCGCTGCCTCCTCCAAGAGTAGCGTCATTGTGTGTGGTTTGTGCACAGTTGCTGGTGCCACTGGGCCGTAAAACCATTTGTGCTTGCATGGCTTGTTGGGTAAGATGCTGCTGTTGATCTTGAATTGGATGTGGATTGTTGAACTGTAAGGGTGCTCTTTGGGGGAAGATACCAGGCTGTTGAGCCATGGCTGTAGCTCGAGGATGCTGCATATAGAACCCTCCTTGTTGCATTGCTGGATGTGGCGACATCTGTATGTGCTAACACGTGATTAAGAGTTTGTTTGATGGTGCTTATAAGTTGTGGCTCCTACGAAATGTGGGATAAAAAGTGTATTTGACCAGTTTAAATTAAAATTGAATCTTTGTCAGACATTAAGCAAGACATCTGCATAATCATTGGTAAACTGAACTGAGGCTGGCTGAATTCAAATACCTGGTGAGCCAATGATGGTGTCTGCGGTTGGGCATCAGCAATTGCAGCCAAATACATCAAATTCTTTTGAAGTTGAGCCTGGTACCTGCTCATCCAGAATCAACGTGTTTGAAGTTAAAAAAATATATATATATATCAATAATATTTTTAAATAAACTAATAAAAACCATAGCCATAAACATGGGAGGTTATAAGAATCAGTTCAACAGTTATGCTCTACAGAGAGCCATGTCTATGCTGAACCAAGGATCAAGAGCCAATGACATCGCTAATGGGCATGCTTTATAAATTTGTTTATATTGAAACAGTAATGACTAAGAATGGAAGTGTCAATTTGTAATGATGGTTATAACAATTTGTAGCACATTAACAAGCAATTTAATATCTTGACCACCATGGATCCAGTTACTTTTAAGAACCAGAGTACAAAAGTCACTAGTCACCTCGTCTCGAACAAGAACATTGAAAGAAAATAAAAAATTTTGGATGAACATCTACACTAAAAATGTGGCCAAACACAAACAAGTTTAGCAGTTATCATTAGATAATACCACCAAACTAAAACAGATGATGAGCAAGTTACAATATGTATTTTGTCCCTATAAGTAAACCATGGACGAACAAATACTCTTAGAATTATCTGAATGATATACATCTCTCTTTGACAAGAAATAACATTAGCTATCATTTAGCAATATCCAAAAACATTTTTCAAAACAAAAGGTGTCATAATGGAAAGCACATTAATGCTATAGAGGAAGAGAGAAAACCACTTACTGGGCACATTCAGCAAGTTTGCCAAGATTTTGATTGTCCATAATTGCCAAGATCAGTTTCTTGTTCTCATCAAGGTACTGCACCATACATTGGAAACGACATTACACATCATAACACAAATTCTACAGCAACATCTGATGGTAGAAACTGCCAAGTGTGATTAGCATCCAGATAGTATGAATTATTTTTGTAAAGTTAAATGCATATTATATAAAAAGATGAGATCATCCACACTTGCAATTTTGCCTGTAATGACTAGTTCATTCTTGGATAACGAATTCATTAGCAAACAAATTGATAAATATACTCAGCCATTAAATCAAGATGGGAAGGTCTCTAAGTTCACCTAAGCTAAAATACCGCTCTCAAGCGATGAAAAATTTTCAGACTACTAAAATAGACCTTTAGATAATGGAAATAATTTCGGAATGCAAGCTTCTGTTAGGTGAATTTTTATTGCTGTAGCAAGTTGGAATTAACATATCTTCCACCAATCATTACTCCAGTCTCAAAGGTCATAACTTTTCTAGCTTCTCCATATAATTTTCTGTTGGAGACGGGAATGGAAAGAGAGTCTTTAGAGTGATGTTGTCATGAGTAATATAGCTGTTCCTGGTACCTGGAACTGCTCAACCGGCAACTGTCCAATGGTACACCCACTCAAAGAAACAGTCCTTAAACATGAATTTCAAAGGCCATTGCAAATTTTGGTAGGCAGTTGTATGCAGTGAGGTTGTGCCAGGAATGAGTATTTTGTTGGCCTTATGACAAGGGTCATTATGCTACCAGGCAATGGAAAAGTGAGGACAAAAGATGACTTTAATCCCCAATATCACCTTACATAAGCATTGGCTAGCATGAAGTCGACCTAAATTTGGACCTTACCAATTGCAGGCTCGTGTCTACACACTTAAAGCTTTAACAACAGACAGATAGCCCTTGTATTTGTAAGGTTAGGCTAGTCATGAATGCAAGCCTCGTTAGCATCATGAAGTAACTAATTGCAGTCAACAACAGCCCTCGTGATATGAAGTCTTCTCAAGGTAACTGAGCTGTCATTGATATTCTACACCAATTGATAAAGAAAGTGAACCCACATATCAAAAAGAATTCCAGTGAACCAACACTTTTCCAATTGATAAACAGCACAACTGGAACTAAGTTAAAATGAGCTAGATCTAGTCAAGCAAGATGCCAAAAGATGGAGTAGCTGGAAATGATACTTTTGTCTCTCATAGAAGGTCACAGTACAGGAAGTAGTTTAAAAGTCAATCTTGGATAAATACATGAAGTCATACAATAAAACTGTGCGGAATTATACGCCTTTATAGATGAAAAAGCAAAGATTCATTGGATTACATAAATCATTATTCATCCTAAACAAATATAAGGTGCCATTCTGATTTTGTAACAAATAGAATATTCAATCAATTGAACAAACTACAAGCACATGTACCCTTCCAACTACTGTTATATCACGGTTATTTAAAATACAGCTTGAAGTAGTGATTCCGCTATCCACCCTGTCGAATCAGTATTTAGCGAAGATTTATGATACAAAGGGCAGATTACTAAATAATAAGTCAACCCCATACAGAAAAAAGATAATCTGTCTAGCATTATTACATACAAACATATTCCAATAAAGAACATACCAAAGTTCCTCATCAATTTACAGAAATAAATAAACCGAACACAAATACCTTCTGAATCTGCTCAGTAGTAATGTTAGCAGGTGGAAATGAAGACATAACTGGGAACATCTGCCCCGGTTGCTGCATCTCTACACCTCTCCTGTTGAATTAAAAAAATATGATCCATCAACAATAAAAATGCACAAGAAACCCACCAAGACAAAAACAAAACAACCCTTTTAATCGGCAAGAATTGGATACAATTAATATGAAACGGACAAAACGAATTGATTTAAGTTCACTTACGGAAATTCAAACGAGAAAAAGTGATAGTGCTTCAACCTGCTTAAGAGTAAGTGGGGTTGTTGACTTGTGAGTGTCTTCAAAGGTTTTGATGGGGAGAGAATGAACTGAAACTGGAATTGAATTGGGATTTACCTTTTAGGGGAAGAACATTTTTACTTGTGGAATTTAGGCAGCACCGATCCAATCCTCCCTTCTATTTTTTTATTTTTAAGTTTTTGTCTGTCGGGTGGAGTCACTCACGAGTCACGTGTTCATACATAGGTCCCACCTGCGACAGCCAAAATTCAACTTACATGACATTGAAGAATCTCTCTTTTATCGAAGAGAATGTCTTCATTTATTTTATATAATTTATCTCGTCATTTTTTACATTTTTTTTTTGTATGGATAGCTGAACTTGCTGCTTGTACATTAAGGTATACACTCCCTCACATTGGGATGGGCTATGTGAGATGGGCCCACTTGCAGAAAATATTTTTTATTCAAGTGAATCACACCCTCATGTGAGAGGGTGGATACCTTGATGTACACCAAATTATGTACATATAAATAAACTCATAGATAGATATATGCCCACAATTAACGCAAACCATGTTCCTATTTGAAATGGTCTCTGTCTCCATTCTCATTTTACTTCTCACATGTAAAATAGTTCACATTGTTGTAGTGAATATACTTTTAGCATTTGAGATTTGTTTTCTCCGCTTAATTGTAAACACCTCAAAACATTAACTCTTGTAGTAGAAAAACATCAACGATGCACTATACGAGTGATAGCACATTTCAATCAATGTTTTCTCATTTGTAACAATGTTTGAAATGTCAAAGTATCAACTATTTAGTGCATGCTTTAGTTTTCCTCAAAACAAGACGCGGTTAAAGTCTCGTGCAAATTTTGTTAGCAAAATTTGTTATTCTTATAGCACGTTTAGCTATGTTATTTATTTTTATTTTTTTATAAATTTTTTTATAAACCATTTATATCATAAATAAATAAAATTGAGCAATGCATGAAGGTATACTATTTGTAAATCCAATAAAATATATCGATGAAAAATTATTTTACTGATTATAAATAATTTATAATCAAAAGTCAAACAAGAGCTTAATATTTACACACATACCACAAACTTAAAAAGAAACTCACACTTTTTTTTACACTTGGACAATCAATGTCGGATTCTCCATAGATCAAACACAGAAGCAAAATATTCTCACACATTAGAGGCTTAATCACATCACTTGTGGAGTGTTTAAAAAACTACGAACTCACGAAATTTAGGGATATAAAAGTATGTTTTAATGTATAATTAAAACTTAACCGAGCATGCACTAATTTTGATTCTCAATAAATTTGAGCTCTATTACTTAAATGCTCTTTCGTAATTCCTCTCTAGTGATTCGTAATCTACTAGGAATAGCATTCAATATAGGTATTGTTTTCTCATTGTTTTTTCTAAAACCACTTCACATTGTGATGGAATCTGGCGGAACTTCAATAGAATTACAACAGCAATACAGTAAGGTGGGAACCTCTTCATTCATAAGCGTCTGAGCATCCTCTTGGAGGTTCGAGAATACAGATTATACCCGTCCTTCAACTACAATGTTAATGTTTGAGAATTCCATACACTGATCTAAGGCAGTTCTAAATTGAATGGGCACTGACTATTTACTGAATAGCCGGTTTAATGCACGGATCTCTCACCAAGGTTGTCCTTTCCCTCCAATTCGCCTTGCCAGCTCAAAATCCTTCTTCACTGAGCAGTAAGAAAAAAAACGCTTCATTGAATGAGGAATGCTCGGTCAGAATGATACTATGTGCAAATAAGGCTAATTGCAAGGAGTGCAAGACAAATTTAAAAAGAAAAAATAGTTTAACCAAAGCTTTGATTCTACTGGCAAGAGGTTGTAACCTTCAGTTCACTCCAATTGTAATCTAAACAACTTGAATTATCATGTCAGATCATATATTAGATTTTAATTCATGAACACATAGTACGTGGTACAAAAAATATAACTAGGAACTTGAGATAACGAGGTCATTATGAAATGAAGGACATGTTCGTATCTACTGAAAAAGCATTCGGCTTTCAAAACAATGGCAAGCATTCTAAACACCAGTCCTAGTGAACAATCTCCATTTTTAAGGACTTGACAAAGAAATGGTACAAAAAAAACTTCAAAAGGCAATTATCACAAGCTTATCTACTGAATATTTTTTATTTTCAAAACAATGGCAAGCATTCAGAAGACTCATCCTAGTCAACAATCCTATTTTCAGGACTTGACAAAGAAATGGTATAAAAGAACTTCAAAAGGCAATTATTAAACAGCATAACAATTAGATCGAGTCAGCATCCCTGTACATCCATTAGTGATGAAGAACACTGAAGAAAATTTGACGAGTAAAACTTACTCAATGTCACGCGCTTAGCATGAATTGCACAAAGCATTGCCTCTTCAAACAATTGCACTATATAATCCTCTGCAGCCTGCAAAAATAGCCAGACAAAAAGGACAACACGCCCAGGTAACCATGGTTAGGTATACCAGAATCAAAGGCTAAAAACTATTTACATGACATCATGAAGCACATTTTGAAAAGAGGATATTTTATCTGCTATATATTATAAATTGTGCTCAATGACACCATCACAGGCATTATGAAAAATTGACAGTTAGTATGAGTGTGTTTGGTAGAGATTAAAATTGAAAAACTAGCCGTTATTGTTGACTTTTATTAGAAACACCAGAATGTCTAGAATCAAGTTGTCAGAAAGAGGTTCATGCACATGAAAAATATCAAAAATAGAGAGAAATATATCGTGATACTAACAGCAGAAAACACATTTAGAAAGAGCTTAATACCTCCTGAAGGGCTACCAAGGCTTCTGCTGTCCAACGTCCGACCTGCGGTGAGTAGAAGTGACTAATCTCTTTTACCTGTTGTATTTTACAAAATAACGCATTTCAAATTTCCTGGAAAAATCAAATACAGGGAAGCACAGGACTTGTGTATTTCAACATGTTACTGGTGCAATTGCTTTGCTAAATCTTGATCTCACATTAATGTAAAAAGCTGAGAGTCACATGACAAAACGATGCTAATGAATATCAAGAGAATTAAACATATATTTTATTTTCGACTTAATATTGGAGCAAGGCTTCACAAACGATGTTCTACATATCTAAGAACCTTAAAGCAGTCCAACACTAACCAAGTCGCTACAAACCAATTCAAATCTCTGTGGTCATGACCTTTCAAACCAATTAAAGAAGCAACTATTAGACTTGGTTCCGTAAAGAAACTGAAACCATATTGCTTGATTTCAATTGAGATTTTTGATCTAAAACAAATTAGAAGATCAATGAGAGGCATGAAGTTATGAGTGGTAGTTAGAGACACTCAATTTTTTAAGCAAGGACTAAAGCATAATAAAAGAAGTTAGAGAAACAAATGATGGTCATATCTAATCAGAAACTACAGTCTGAACTGTTGTTATGTGCTGTAATATAGTGATTAGAGTAACCACAAGCACATGGATGTCATTTAAAGCTGTGGTGAAAACAAATAAAAGTTCCAAATGTAGCAAATAAAGATTTACTTTCCATATCATAACATCTCCTATAGGAGCAAAAAATTAAACCTGTGAAATCAATTCACTGTCAAAAGGCACAGCATTGTCAATTCCCATCTTACTCTATAGGTAGCTTATTTGTGTGACTATATGTATATATATATATATATATATGCATACTGAATTGGGTAATCAGGACTGAATTTGAGACATGAATTACATCTTGAATGTCAAGGCCATATGATATCCTTAATGCTTCAATCAGTCCATTGTTGCAATGCCATTGTTTACATTATTAACAGTACCATATAAGCATTTTGGGCTTTGAAACAAAGGATATAATGGCACAATTATATAGAAATACATGCATTAGAAACGTGTTAATCACATTTTGTAGTCCATTTATTGACAACATGAATAGTCCCCATAAACCATCATTGTATAAACTAGTCAGTACATCGCAATTTCAAGGGGAAAAAACCTAAATTGATCATCTACATTCAGCCATAATTTTATAATTTCAATTTCCATTTCATAATTTCATCACGTAAGCAGCTAACTGTAGTAGGGTTGTGAATCATCGAATCTTATGATCAGAAAGCCATGAATTTCCAAACACCCCAAAAAGTACTTTATTTGTCAATCCAAGTTATTCACAAATTGCATAACAAAATGTCAGAAATGTGCAGATGATTGCGGGAAATTACAAGTCTAATAAAGGGAGCAGCAGGAATGAGAAGGTTAATAGACTTCTGATATTTCCGAATCTCGCGAAGAGCCACTGTCCCAGGCCTGTTTCTCCGCTTTCTCTGCCTTTCCCCATCTCTGTCAGCTACAAAACAAAACATCATACCCACATTCCCCGAAAAAAGTTCAAATAAAATCAAAACTCACCACTAAAATATTTCAAGAAAGAACTCAAAATAGAATGTTATAAATAAACACACGGACGAGTAACTCACTTTGTGGAGTAGTCCTTGGGCTTCTTCTAGCAGGTGACGACTAATCAAATAAACAATAATGCACTTCTCACATCTCAGAAACATCAAAATGTAAAAATAAAAAATTATGTGTACATTATGAAAGTGCCGAAGAGTATAAAATACCTGAGCATTTGGTTTTGAGGGAGTAGCTTCTGCAGCTGAAATTACAGATAGAGAGTAAAATTAGGGTTCCAGAAAATAGGCAAAAAGGTAAAATTACTAAAAATGTACTTTACATATAACATATATTTAGAGAGAGTGTGTTAACGGGTGGACCGGAGGATTTCCGGCGAGGAGTTTTTCGGTTAGCCGGCTGTTTAACTCTGGCCATGGACCCTTTTTTTTTTTTTTTATGGATTTAGCAATTATTGAAATTTATTATATGATTTTAATCTTTGTGATTTCTGAGTTTTTTTTTCCCCCTAAATTTTTCAGTTTTCAAAAGATGCTTTCCCGCTTGATTACGCGAGGCGCCGTATTAGAGCTGAACGCGTTGTTTAAGATACACGATTTCAGTGGGAAAATAATAAAGCCTTTGCTTGTCCGAGATTTTTCTAAAACCCCGTTTGATAGGGCATTATTTTCTATCGAAAATGGAAAATAAACTACAACTTTCACTTTTGCCTTATTTGATACAAATTCTATCTTTTTTTTTAAACAATTGGAAAAATTTTTAGATACAATATTAAAAAAATTTATCACTTTTATTGACAATTTTCATACAAAACAAAGTCAACCAAATGGTATTCGGTATGGTAATTTTTTTAAATGTTTTATTTTTTTTTGGCGAGTGAAACAAATTCTAGACCCAATGGTAAAGAAAATTATCACTTTAATGGACAATTTTCATGAAAAAGAAAGTTAAACGGACACCAAACTTTCAACATTTTTCAGGTGGAAAATTATATCAATCAAACACAATTAATTACAATTCTCAGTAAAACAATTTCTAACCAATTCAATTCCTTAGAATTCATTTTCTTTCCACTAATTTTCCACATTTGCAATCAAACGGACCCTAAAAGTATTATTTTTCAAAATCATTTTTCATTTACACATTTTATAAAGAGGAAATTACATAAAATCAGGTATTTAAACTTCCAAATTCAAAATTCAGGTATAAAATTTATTTAATCAAAAATCAAGTATTAATTGGATATTTTGTTAATTTAAATAATATTATAATACTAATATTTCAAATAAATCCTAATTCATTTTCAATCTCATTTTCTCTCCCTCCTCTCTCTCTCTCTGTCCGAAATCGAAGCCCATCGACAAATGCCACCACCAGATCTAACAAACCCCAATGCCTCTACGTGCAGATATGGTTTTGCCAGTACACAGATTGCGCGATTCGTGACTGCTTCTTCTGTGCTCATTACAGTGAAGGCGACGACAAGGGGTGTGAGCGCGCTTCTTCCCTGCTCAGCTTTTGTAGATCGACGCTGCTATGAACTGCAACGTCGCGACAATGTGGCGAGATTGACTCTAGTCAGGTGTGGTATGGTGTGGTGTGGTGGTGAATCTAGTGTAGTGGATCTAGGTAGCAGTGACGGGTGTGGAGGTTGTGGCGGGTTTGGGGTTTGGGGTTTTTTTGTTGGGTTGTGATTGTGGTGTGGTGATGCCGTGTTGTTGGCGGCAATGGGGGTGGTGGTGGATCTCGTGGCAGCGTGACGAGTTTGGGGTTTTTTGTTGGGAGGTGGTTGTGGTGTGATGTGGTTTGTTAATGGTGATAGTTGTAGTGCAATAGAGGTGGTGGCGGTGGCTGGAGATTCGATAATGGTGGCGGTGGTTGTGATTGTGGTTTTTGTTAGTAGTTGACTGGATCTGGTAGCGACGATTTGGTGGTGGTGATGTGGTGACGTGGTGTTGGTGTCGGTGGTGGTGGCGACGGGGATGGGGATGGTGGTGGATCGGCAACGACGAAGACGGGTGGATGCGATGGCGGTAGTGTTGGTAATGGTGGTGTGTGACCACTATTTGGTGTATGTAACCAATTAATTGGTTATATGTGATCAAATATTAAACCGTGACTTTAAAATTTGATAACTTGTGACTTGAAAAGTAATTTGTGACCAACAAATCTAAAAATCTGTGATCGATAGATAAATCGTGACCTATAATTTTTTTTCTTAATTTGTCAACAATAAAATAAACTGTCACTTATAACTGTGACTTTAAAATTTGATAATTTGTGACTTGAAAAGTAATTTGTGACCAACAAATTTGAAAATCTGTGATCGATAGATAAATCGTGACCTGTATTTTTTTTTTTATTTGTCAACAATAAAATAAACGGTCACCTATAAAAAAAAAAATTTATTTCTGACCTCAATGAATAATATGCTACCTGTGAAATTTTGATTCGTGTTCGAGAAGTAATCCGTAACCTATAAAATTCTTGATTTGTAACCGAAAATTATTTTTTGATTAATTAATTAGATAATTGTGACCAAATTGCATATAATTGTGTCCTTACTATATTTAATTGGTAAAATATATATTTAATAAATTAATTTATTGAATTTATTATATTTAAATAATAAATATTTTTAATTAATTAGCTAAATACTTGATTTTTGTATTTTATAAACTTAAAACCTGAATTTTGAGTTGTTGAAACTTAAAATCTAATTTATGAATTCTTCCCTTTTATAAAATTCACAACTTTTTGACTTTTCAACCATACATTTTCCAAAAATCATTTTTCATTTGAAAATGAAAATAAGTTACTTGGCATTTTTTTTAAAATTAATTGTTATTCCCTCCATTTCATTTATATAGGCTGGTTTTATTTTTCAGACAAATTAAGAAATTTTATTTAATATTATTAAAAAAGCAATTTTGCCAAAAACTTTCCTAATTTACTCTTATTTAATTATCAACAATTAGTGGTAAATGATTGTTGAAAGTAATAAAGAAATTGAATTTGGATGATTTCAAGAAGTGTGTATCTTTATACTTGTACAATTTCAAAATTAAGTAGGAGAAAAATTAAATAATGATATATTAGTAAACAAATAAAACAAAACGTTCTCAATAAAAAAAAAAAAAACTATATAATTGGGACAAAAAAATAAAGAAATTCAGCCTATAAAAATGATATGGACTAAGTATAAGAAAACAGTTCAAGAGTGTTTATTTAGTTGAAATCAATTGTTTCGGGTAGTTGATTTTCCCGTATTTAATTATTTAGATTGCATGCCAAATTTCAAAATAAGCAAGCTAGTTGTATTTTGATTCTTTTGACATGAAGCCAAGTGGACGCCAAATGGGATCACCAATCATGTCGACGAGAAGTAAAAATGTAATGCCTAAGGTTCAAGAATCATCCGACCCAATAAAAGCATCGAAAGAGCCTTGGGCATATAACAAACATCGAAGTCACTAAACAGGGTAGTCATCGATACGAGGGTTATTAGCTTATTTCTTTTAAATACCCCATTTGTCTCTCCTTTTACCAGATTATTCTAGGGTTTTTTTTATAGTGGCGTCATTTCTCTCTCTTTCTCTTCTTTTATTTGTGATCTCTATTTTCTAATGATTTAGATGAGATTGTAAAATATAGTGTTGTGAGGGTTCCATGTTTGTTCTTCGTGAATGGTAACCTCTTGTTGGTGTATTTATGAGAGAGGAGAGATCAAGCGAAAGATTGCATTCAGGTAGCTTTTCTTGTTGATACCTTGAGTATTGGCCATTATTCTTGTACGCTTTGATTGAGTCAATGGATTTAGAGCGTTAAACACGAATGTGGTGAGTAGGCCTTAAGGCTGAACATCCGAATTTTAGAAAAAAAAATCTTAGTGTTCATACTTTTTGTTGCAGTTTTTTTTTAATCTATTAAAAAATACCAACACAAAGAATGAGATAATGAACACCAAACTAGGAATCCTCTCTACCGTGGACCATTGAAATGTCTCATAATACAACATATGTAAGCTCAAAAACCTCGTACCAGAGGTTTATATATTTCTACAACTCTAGTAACACAATTATGTGATTTCCAGCCAAATACGAACCTATGTACCAATTCCTCATGTATCCCATTAAACTCGTCCAATCTCTATGGCTGTGATGGTATAGGTGACGATGGTGGCTTATAATCGGGATACTGTAATCAAGAAAGAAAATATATCGATGAACTTAAGCTCAATAGGGAATGCATGGCATGTAGGACTAGGCAACAATATAATGGATAATATTTAGCTACTCTTTTCATCGTTAAACACTTGCAGTGCATATACTCACATTAGGATATGGTGCAAGTGGTCTACAAATTCCAGGAAGGGATTCTTCTTTAACTTCTACTTTGGGAACTGAATTGATTTCAGGAGTGGGCTTGGGAGCTGCTTTGACTTCAGGTGGAGCATTGTTTACCTCGGAAAAAGACTCGGATTTCTGAACATCAGTATCAACAGGAACAGAAATTGCCTCTGCGGTGGCCGGCAGAGCCTTGCCGGTCGATGGTAGAAAGGCCTTACCAATTTGCTGAATTTCCCAATCGTGGAGTCAATAACGGTCAGTGAACACAAACAAGCAGTCGATTAGTTTCATATGCAACTTTAGTTTACCTGTATATCGCCCACAAGCTCTCTAGGGGCAACTTTTGTTTTTAAGAGCTCTTCAACTTGTTGTAGGGTTTGCTTTCTATCCTGCAACGAAAATGGTGGAAGTGGAACACTTTTTAGGAATGTTTGTGTTCAAACATTCAATAAACTTCACTGGTCCTTTTTGTAGTTCACCTATTCTTGTCTTATTTATATTCAAGATCTTGTAATGACGGCTGATGCTGTTATATGAACTTAAATAGCAAAATGAATTCACGACACAAATTCATGTCCTCGAATACGTAACTCAGATTCTCAAGTTTAAAAAAGGTGAATTTTAATAGAAAGTAAACAACAAACCTCTGCAAATATGAGTTTCTTGCTAACAAACTGGATGAGAGCAGCAGAACCCAAAAGTTGGAGAATTGTTTCCACCTGAAATATGAATTAAAAATATTAGGTAATCCTTCTTTGTTTACTAAAACTATAGAATGCACGAGATTTGTAACCTCCGTATAGGCCAATAATCCTAGACCAGCAGCAGCAGCGACACCAAGGGTCAAATACGCAGTATCAGAAGTCTCCTGCATATCCGACAGCACCTTAAATAAATGCTCGGAGAATACAAAGACAAATGTAAATGTCAACAGCTAAGAACATCTACAAAGGCATGATATTGGAGTAATAACATCTCCACTTGCCCAAGAAATAAGACAGCAAAATATAGTTTCTCATAATTTCCCAGAATAAGGCCGGAATCAAAGTTACTTTGTAATAAGCTGCACACTCTATAAATGTGCAATACAGTATGCATTGATTTTTCTTGACTTCCCAGAGCTATACAGTATGCACTGATTTTTCTTGAAGTTTGTCAGTGTATATCTTCTGCACACTAACTTAGAAGCTAACAACAAAAGGTTTTGAGGACTAGAATTTACAAGGCATGTTGTTAAATTATTTGATATATAAATAGCCCGTGTTACAAATGCTAGAATATAAGGCAGTAATCTGATACAAGCTAAAGAATATACCCCTAAAGCACCACCAATTGCATCTGTAAAACCGCTTATATCGAGACCCAATGTCTTCTTCGGAAGTATCCAAGGAAGGCCACTATTCTGCACACAATTTCCCTTGTCTTTAAGTTTGAATATACGTGCTGTTTCAAAAAGTAAAAGTAAAAGTAGAATATAAGAAGTCACCATCCATCCTCGCGGTCCTTCTGCACCATCTTTAATAGCATAAGCAGCTTTGTAGCCATTGGCTGTTACCAGCTCCGCAACAAGCTCGGAGTTGCCATCAAATCTGGCTTCATTACAATTCAAATACATAAAATTGTATGTAATTTGTCAATATTACAAAAGACGTCTTTTTCTTAATATGATTGAAGACTAACATTAAGGGGCAACAATATTAACCCATTTTTACTCCAATGAATCTATTAACCAGATAAGGTCGAGATTAATATTAATGGGAGTACCTAGATATTGGGTTCTACACCAACTCGACGTTAAGAAAATATCTAATGCAACTACATAATTCACTGAATAGGTTTGGGATCTTAGGCTATTCATAAATCTTTTAGAGTAGTATTCATGGTGATAATAAAAATCAGTTACAGCACAAACGGGATATCTTAAAACCTATGGTACACTGGGTTTATTCATGACACGGTCCTATGTGCATAAACGAATTACGGAAGGCGTTTAATAGTCGAATGGTAAGGTTAATTAGACCGTAATTGTTTATAAAAGATGAAGATTAACTCAAGGAAAAGTGAATAACTATATGCAGAATAAACAAAATACAGAGTATGTTCAAAATCTTACTTGTCCAGAATGAACAGAGTGGTATTTTCAGGTTCTTTAAATTTCAATGCCAGTTTGTTCAAAAACCCGGGTTTATCTTCGCCTTTGTATACGACGGCCACCGGCTTCTTCTTCAAACCCGGAACATCCGGGCTTCCCACTTGCCTCAACTCTCCTGGTGCTCTTATATCAAGCAACTGAGCATTGGAATCATCAGCCAGTTTTGTATAAGCAATCTTAGCACTCTCCACTCCCCATGGCTTAGGTTTACTCAGCAACTGAGCAACCAGTAATGGCACTGCCAAAGTCACCGCAACACCACCAATAAAAATGGGATTCTCCACAACAAAATTGATCACACTATCAAAAACTCCACTGGGATCAAAATCTGTAATGGAAGAACTGGTCACTGATTGTTGTAAAGCTTCATCATATGTTAATGCCTTTGCAAACCCGGAATCAAGAACCGAAGATAAAAGGACTAATCCACCTTGAAGATTTCTTGATAAAGAAATGGCAAGATTTTGGTTCTTCAATGGTGGAAATGAGGCAAGTGATGAATTTTTTCTCGGTTTATTTTTTTTTGCAAGAACAGAAAGTGGGGTTAATCCAGCTGCATTAAGGGCCTCCATTGCATAATCAAGTACTAAACCCTTGAAGCTTCTTTGTTTTTGTGCTTTTGGTTTCAATGGTTGGAATTTGGATGGTGTGGGAGGGAACGAGATTGTACCAATTACTGAATTACACGTGTCAAATAAGGATGGAGGGTGAGATGGATTATTTGTGCTTTTGTGAGTGTGTGGCTAAAAAAATCTCAGGAAGTTCGTAGAAAATTCTTTAACGTAGTACCAGTCTACCATCTACACAGTATCAGTACAGGTCAGTTGTAAATTTTTCATTAACCGTTTGTTGACGATTGGTTGCTCTTGAATCAAAGTCCAACATACCCTTGAATGATTGTGGATATTGGCCAACATTATAAAAGAAAAAGAGACAAAAATTTTATTTACTCTACTGTATATTATCACATAGCGAACATGCACCCAATTCATCGAGTCTATATAGCAGTCCACATGAGCTTGCAGAACATCTTTCAAAACTTGGTAGCTAAACCATATGCGATTGGCATTCGAGGCAGGAAATTGAGTAGCAGTTATGCAGTAACCGTGTCTGGATAACCGTTAAAAGTTAATTAGACTTACTAATAAGTAACTTTTTAAATACCTTTTACAATTTTGGAAGGAGATAATCAACCCCGGATCCTTCGATGATATATCATTCACGTGGTGTATTGAGGTAAAAGCAAAGAAAAAAAAAATTATAAAAATTAAGCATAAATGTGCAAAAAGAAGTTCTTATCCTGTTACAAACTGAAAAACTTGTGCCTCGGTCAAAATCAATCCATCATATTTGTAGAAATAAGAACCCGGATGAGCGTTCATCACAATATGTCGAAAAAATAATCCAGACCTTGTCCGATTTCCCAGATTGCAATGCCGGCCCCCCAAGAAAGAGCTTCTTCGAGCCGCATTGAAATTGATTTCAGTGATGGGTAGAATACTACGTGCTTGACATTCTGATTATCAGAATACACGAAGAAATGTTCAGCACTGTTCTCCTCCCAGCGCAGTGCAGGCCTATGTCGTTCCAACAAAGATAAATAATCCGTTCCAAGGACAGGTCCACCGCCTAAACCAGCAAATAAAATCATGTCAAAATAAATAAATAAATAAAATCTCATAACAAGTTTCATGGTACATACCTCCAGAAACGATGAAATCATTCCCATAAAAGTTGATGCCGACGAAAATCTTTTTATCGAACTTCTGATGATCATGGGTAGTGCCGTCAAGGAGAAGCTGCAAGGTGTATTGAATCCACTTCAAAGGTGCATTGGGACCAGGATTTTGAGGACCTGAGAAGTCGTAAGTCATAATAGAGAAACCATCTACGGCTTCAACTAAGGTCCGGAGATCTTGTGGCCCAAAATCATACTCCTCTAGTTTATCCGAACGAGGCGGACCTATAACATACACTAATTGCAAGTTCTGCTTACTATGCTCCAATCTTATGGAGTGCATGGCCTGTCCCAATTGATGGATAAATTGCAGTGCCTAGGTTTGCAAGTAAGAAGGATTGTATCAGTAGCAGTCATAGCAGTTTTTTCCATATACTAAATTACGCTTCAAACTAATGATTTGAAGCTAGAAAATCAGTTGCAGCTAGAATATTCCACATTAACAAGCAGGTTTAAGAAGGAGAAAGAAGCAAAGTAAAATACATACATTAGATCTTCATCATACACAAAGCATTACAATATTCACATGTTAGACATGATGATAATAAGTATAGTTCTGTTACAGCGAAATGTAAATACTAATCCAAAATCGGAGGTTCAATTGACTCATCAGAGAAATTAAACTAATAGACATCTTTTCTAATTCAGCTTTTGATATTCATACTGAAAAGAAGTATAGAATAGAAAGGCACACCACTGTAATTCAAGTGGCAAAGTGAATGGAAGGGCTAAAAAAGGCCAAAACTGGTACTTAAACGCAAAATATGCTGCAGAAAATCAATTATTACCATATACCGCATTTCTGGATCATGCAAAACACCGTAGGCTGCCCACCTCGACCATGACTCCAGTACGATACCATCATAACCCATTTCCCTTTAACAATGAAAATAATAATATGTTAAAAATCAATAAGAAGGCTTATGGGCACTACAACCTTATTCTGCAGTTTACATATACTCGAATTAGAAGGACTTGATTCAAAAAATTAATATGACAGATAACAACTAAATATAGAGAAAAGGAAGAAGAAAATAAAAGGCTTACTTGCATTCAGTAATGATCAGGTTAACTGCTCTATTTCTCTGTTTCTTCTTTTTCAGCAAATCCAAGGGACGTGCTTCCAAAAAAACCCTAGGCAAAACCTATTTTATCATAATCATAAACATGGTAAAGGAACATTAAAATCAGTGATAAACTCAAGCATAACATAATAACTAAGGTAAGTTTTACTTTATACATAAAAATCATACCGATGATCATTTTCACATGACTCAAAAAAATTTAGTATCCTTCTGTGTAGGGGATGGATCACAATCTAATAATTAACAAAGTTGCCATCATAATGTTTTAGTATCAGAATTTAGAGGAACATATACGGCTGATGCATTTCATTTCTGTTGAAATCCAGGGCACAGATTGGTAAAAACCAAAACTAAATGATCTAAGAATGAAATTCGGAATTGGTTTACATATTTCTCATACTAAAGCATTTAATACAAAACACAACTTAGATTCTCGTCTTAACAAAGTTGCCATCATAATGTTTTAGTATCAGAATTTAGAGGAACATATACGGCTGATGCATTTCATTTCTGTTGAAATCCAGGGCACAGATTGGTAAAAACCAAAACTAAATGATCTAAGAATGAAATTCGGAATTGGTTTACATATTTCTCATACTAAAGCATTTAATACAAAACACAACTTAGATTCTCGTCTTATGTATTGTTCCCATTAAACTTTTTCTCCACCTTTAAGTTTGTTTCCAATTCTGGAACACTCAAGAAATGCACAAATGTTCATTCTGCTGTGCAGCTTAAAAATTAAATATTTAAATATGCAATCACAAGTCAACTAACCAGGGCATCTCCTTTCATCCTAAGCCCTGCAATCCATTCTTTATCAGCATTATGCCTTCCCTCCATAACCAATTTGGTATCTTGGCTGGCATCATTCAGAACTAGGATCACGTGAATTAGTACAGGGCAATAACCATTTAGTGTAAGTAATTCGTCACATGCCTTTCACATATAAGCAAACAAAATCATAAGAAACTTTTACACAAATCCCAATCTGATCTCATTGTGGACCAAAAAAAAAAAAAAAGATCCAGTTAATCCTCTATCCAAAAGAATATTATGAACCTGATAGTATGTGTAGCAAGGACGTATTTAGAACTAACTCAAACAAAGTATTCAGGCTATAAGACAAATCACAATCAATTAGAAAGAGTAGTGTAACCCGTACAGCAAGGATTATCTTGCAAAACAGGTATTATTAATAAATGAAACGAGAGAAAACCAAGTGCAAGAGCCATATAAATTAGCTAATACTACACCTAAGAGTAAAAGAAGTAGAAGTAAACAACCAAAAGGAGCAAAAATTACAGTAACAATACAATCTCCAAAGCTGAAAGCACAGGGATTGATCCAGACTTAGAAATATTTGAAATTAAAAACATAATCACTTAGCAAATCAGGAATCCCATACCTCTTAAGTTCATACCACACAGGTGATAAATGTGTAAACTTATTATTGAACTTCTTGGCCATCTCATACCCCTTAGAATTCCTGCATCATTTACAATTCAAGCATTTACACAGCAACCCTCCACCTAAACTAACATCGTAAGATAAGCTACAAGAAAAATTGCACAAACAATTGGCTAAGCTTTTAAGTGCTTATATGCAGTTCATCCCAAGAAATGTGTGGTAAAAATGTAGATGAAAGTGTTGGGTCCTAAAAAATGCGTGGTTAAAAATTATGTTTGACCAACTTATAAACAATTAAAAGCTTTAAAAAGCATACACTTGCATGTCCTCGGGCCTTCAAAGCTAAAATACAATTTCAAGCATGGATATATATTTGACTAGCTAGACTCTGACTAAAATTTAAGCTACACTGAAGCATAGTGACCTGATTAAAAGCGTGTTTGGCTTAGCTTAAAAGTAAACAAAAAAGCCAAAAAGTGGCTTTTTTTTGGGCTTCGTTTTTAATATTGCTAAAAACACTAGCTTCTTTCACAAAAGAAGCAAAGCCAAACATAATTTAAATAACTTAGTGCTCGACTCGGCGCCTAATTCAGCTGATAATCTTATGTAATAATCATCTGTACATTTCTTGTTCACACATTAAATGCTATTATTTTATATTTTAATAATACTATTTTGAAATGAAATTACCATGGAGTAAGGTAGGCTAGCACGGGATTCTTGAAATTCCGGCGACTGGAATTTTCGGATACCTTCATGTTCTCCTGAATTTTTAGAAAATTGACATAGACAAAATAGAAACAATCTATTTTCGAATTAAATAATATCAAAACGGAAATTAAGCTAAGAAAATGAGAGAGTCAAAGTGCGTACACTGAGGACTTGATGATAATGAATATCAGTCTTTACGAGACCGCGCTGGTAGACGTACGGTAGGTCGGATCCCGTATTCAAATTCTTATGTACATTAGAAGCGTGCAGTTTACTGTATAAGATTAAGGAAATGGTGGAAGATAGAATGAAGAAGAGGAAAACGGCGCAGCTGGTGCTCGTGAGCTTGTGATCTGAGTTAGGTGGCGGCGATTCCGCGGGGGTGACGACCTTGATTCTTCGAGTTGAAGAGTCGACTTGGCTTGATTTACCATCGCTACTGAGTCCGACTCGCCGGTTTCGTTTTTTCGCCATGACGATTCAACTCCGAGTCACGAAGCAGCCCGTCGCATCCAAGTTTTTTATAGGTGGAAACTACAGCCAACCCTATGTATCAAGATCCAATTTCACAAATAAGATTCAAAGTTTAGTTATTCAAAAATCAGATATTTTATTTTAATTAAAATTTTAATAAAATAAATATTTTTACTAAAAATATATACTTACAAACCCTAATTAGATCTCACTTCTCGCATTACTCTCTCTCTCTCTACTTTTCTCCGTCCTCTCTCTACAAACGCCTCCTCTCGTCACTCTCTCCCTACACCAAGCTTCCCCGGCACCACAACTCCAGATTTGAGGCCC